GGAGGCGCATAATAGTAGCACATATTACTGTAAATTAAGCGCCTCTTTTCTCTCTCTCACTTTCTCTCGCTCGCTCGCTCTTTTTTTTTATGTCATAATAATTCCTGGGGCGTGGAGACTTCTTCTCTGAGGAATAGAAATTATCTGATTCCTCAGTTTGACAGCTTTCTTTGAGGGAAACACATTTTTGCTAGTTTCTCTCCACTAGATCACTAATCTGGGGGGTGTTCTATGTAAGTCGCTGAGAACACGTTGGGCAAATGTATCCTCCTTTGGATTCAGACATTAGTTTGCACGTCCATCCTCCCTTTCCACAGCCTGAAGATTAAAGGGTTTGCCAAAACCAGCTTCATTTTGAGGAAACAGAGGCAGCTCCTCTGCATCTGGAGCGTTTGCTTCCTGCTTCCTGTGAGGCCACTCCACTTGGAGAGCGTGGCGCTCAGCCCCTTCATGGTTTCTGATCCTGCTCTCCTTTTAAATTAGAGAATGGTTTTTCTCTTTTTCCTTTTTTTCCCCCCTTCCACTCCCATTCCTCATAGGGAGATATTAATATGTTTCATAATGGGTAGCTGTGGGGGGTTTTATGCTCTGAGAGGCAACGTGGTGTGTTAGAATGTTCTGGAAAAGAAGTATAAAGGGCCTTGTCTTCCCCTCTGTCATTAACTCTTCCATGCCTTTGAAAATCCCCCATTCTATGATGATCTCTTTCCAGCAATACTGTGAGATCCTACGTCTGAGACATAAGATAGCTTATAAAAATGTATAGGGGGATCCCTGGGTGGCTCAGCGGTTTAGCTCCTGCCTTTGGCCCAGGGAGCAATCCTGGAGTCCCGGGATCGAGTCCCACGTCGGGCTCCCAGCATGGAGCCTGCTTCTCCCTCTGCCTGTGTCTCTGCCTCTCTCTCTCTCTCTCTCTCTGTCTATCATGAATAAATAAATAAATAAATAAATAAATAAATAAATAATAAATCTTTTAAAAAAAAAAGTATATTATAAGGATCCCTGGGTGGCACAGCGGTTTGGTGCCTGCCTTTGGCCCAGGGCGCGATCCTGGAGTCCTGGGATCGAGTCCCACGTCGGGCTCCCGGTGCATGGAGCCTGCTTCTCCCTCTGCCTGTGTCTCTGCCTCTCTCTCTCTCTCTCTCTGTGTGACTATCATGAATAAATAAATTTTTTTTTAAAATGTATATTATAAACCAGAGTATTGGGTTTTTTTCCCTCCTAGGTATTTAGTGTTGGGTTTTGTTGTTGTTGTTGTTGTTTTATTAACAAATATCGATCATTTGTTAACTTTCACCTTATAGAAAACTCTCCAGGAAAAAATAAGCTTCTTTTCTTTCACAGAAAAGGATGAACAAAAAAAGAGATTCTATAAATAGGATTTTATAGACTGGAAAAAAGTGGTGTCTAAATTTCCCATGAGATGTCAGTAGTCGTTGAAAGGAAATGGAGATGATAAGTGGTTCTACATCATGGAGGAAGGAAGGCTAGGAGCTGTCATTTGCTACTTCCCCATATATGCCAGGTACTAAGCTAATCCTTAAAATGGCTTTGTATGGTAAGTAGCCTTATCCTCATTGTACAGATAAGGAAAGAGCCTCAGTGACTTGTTCAAGGTCACATAGCAAGATTCAAACTCCTGTGCATTGGACTCAGAGCTCTTTTTTTTGCCATACACCTTTCCAGTCTATCCTTTCTTAAGGATTTCCTAGCTTCTCATGCTACCATATTTCTTGGACCTCTGTTCCACTGAAGAATATATCCCTCCCTCCTTAGTCATCTAAGGAACTACATCCAAAAGCATAAGGGGAAATGGTTCAAATGATTAAGTTACCAAGGCTTTACGTTTTTATCCCAGACTCTAAGATCACTTCCACCCTCCAAGAGTCGTATCCAAGACAGATTCAGTTCTGCATCACTCACTGGCCTCAGAATACCACCTGATGTAGTGGACACAAAATAAATTCTTTATTGAGTGAATGGATAGATGAAAAATTAATTCTCAAGTCTTGACCTTCCCTACAAGGAGACATTCCCTGTTTGGGTCAATGGGGACAAGCCTAGGAGACTCTTTCCCTAAGTGATCTTGGTTGTCTTCCCCCAGCCTTATATCCCAAAGCTTCCCAACAGGGCCTCTCTAGAGGCTCTGGCCTTACTGGTCCCTGCCTGAGATGATGCCTTGAGTCCTGGGTTCTTCCTGCAGCCCTCAGCGGGGCATCTCCCTACTTCTCCTCAAAGGTCCCTAGTCTACTATCCTCCAGAGGAGGACTGGATGTGAATTCCAGCTGTGTGATCTTGGGCAAGTCATGTTCCTTCTCTTGGGTCTCAGCTTACCTGTCATTGAAATGGGACTAAGAATACTTCCCTCATAGGGTGGTTATAAAGATCCAGAGAGCCAACGGACAGGAAAGTACCTGGCATAAGGATGGGTGCCCAAGAAATACCTAGAGAATCAGAATTCTTTTAAAGCATTTCCTTTCTCCTGTGGCCAGTGTGGATCCCCACCTTTCCCTGTCCGGGGATCGGATATAGCAATCAACTATATTTGCAGGCATCACTCAGGAGGATGAGTTACCTTGGGGAAGGGATAAATGGAGAATTCTCTTTGGTAAATTACAGCCCCTGCTAAAGGTTTGACACTTCTATTTTCTACCTGTCAGAAAAAAATAACTATATACCAGTGGTCAGTTTGGTTTCCCTTTTTATACTCCATTAACCCACAGAGCAAGCCAAGCAGAGCTCCAGTCCTGTGGGGGAATAGGTAGTCCAGAGGACACTGATAATGATAATTAAGGAAAAGCAGTGACCCTTCCCAACGAAGCTTTTATTTTTATTTATTTATTTATTTATTTATTTATTTTTCTAACGAAGCTTTTAAAATGAACAGTGCAGGTTCTTGGAACACCTTGGGAGAACCTGGAGCACCGTCTCCAATGGAACCCAATAGAGATAGCCATCGTGGTGACAGGCAATATGAAAAGCTCTGCGCCCATTGACATGTTGTTACTGGGACCCAATAACTGTGGGCTGATGTGTTTGAAACCCGCCACCAGTGACTTGTGATTAAAATACGGAGCAGGAGCCCAAGAGGGAGCAGGATGTGAATTGATGGTCTGAGAAGTACTGGTGGGGAAGAAAGGAAGGAAGAGAGAGGGAGGGAGTGAGCAGGTGCACTGGCATATAAAGAACACCAGTCTCGTCTGGGCACCATGCCAGGCACAGTCCCAGCCACCACTGTCAGGGGTGTGCATGGGTTTGGAGAGGGGCTCTAGGATGCCCAAATCCTGCTTGCCAATCAACCCCTCTTCTGTCGGGTTCCTAAGGGAACTATTCAGACAAGGGCTGATGACAAATGGGAAATCAAAGAACCACTTTAGCATTAGCTGGGGCAGTGGATGAGGACATGTTTGGAGAGCTGAAAGTAGCATTGACAGGCAGCTGGCCCGGGGGTCTAGCTTCAGGATTCCCAGGGCCAATCCAGCCTGTATTGGAATTTCCAGCATGACCCTGTTCAGAAAGATGGTGCATCTGAACAAGCCAAGGGCTACCTTTAGACTGGACAGAGAGCCCAGGCTCTGTGCCCAGTCTGACTGGCGAGCTCCATTTCTTCAGAATGGACAGGGCCACTTGCTGAAAGATCAAGTAGCCCCCAAGTAGCCATTGAAGATCCTGTGTTCTAGCTCTGGAAGAGAAAATGAGAAAGGGGAGAGAGATCAACGGGGAGGAGAACCAACAATTGTGGGCCAGCCGGGTGCCAGGCACCAGTCTGGGTCCTTGGCAGGCACTGCTTCATCTCATCTTCACCACCGCCAAGTGGGCAGATATTCTTCTCTTCATTTTAGGTATCAGTAAATAAAGGCACTGAAGATTTAAGTACATGCTCATAGTCACCCAGCTAGAAAAAGCAGCAAAGCCAGCATTTCAATCCTGGCCGGTCTGATGCCCAAATCACGCTTTTTTCAGTATGCCAGACTGCCTCCCCACATCTCCAGACCAAAAAGACTACCAAAACCAAAAAAACAAAACCAAGAAGGGAGTAGGAGGATTGCAAGCACACCTCTGTGGCTTGGACAGGTTGCTGATGTGGTCCTGAAAACCTGGTAATCTTGGCCTCTCTGCACTGGAGGAAATAAATCAGGGGACCTCTAAAACTCTGAGGCTAGCCCACCCCCACTGCTACCATTTCCAGTGACTCCCCAAAGTCAGGAATGAACACGAAGGGGCCCTACAGTGGTGTGTGCCTCCATGCATGCAAGGGGGCATGGGCCAGCTGCACTCATCGGCACGGGGAGTCTCAGGTTCGCTGTGCTGTTCAGGGGCCCATGTGAAATCTTCAGGGCACAGATTAGATGGACCTGCAGGAGGCTCAAGCCCCTGTCTGTAGGTTTGGGTGCAGGACCTCATCTGGTGAGCATTCCAGTGGAGACTCACTTCTGGATGGCAGCGTTGTCTCTCACCTGAACCGGTGACATGCTGTTTCCATTGGGTCCTCTGAGCATGGGTCAGCCGCCAGACACTGGTAAGACAGCACAGCACCCAGGACCAGCTTTTCTTTCTCCTCCTCAAGACTAATGGATGTGAAGGTGAAGACACGCATAAGGCATATTTTTGAAATGTAGAATTTCCATCTCCCCCTCAGAGCAGGCAGAGACCTCTGTTGGCATGTGTTAGAACAGGCTGAAACACAGGGACTGCTTTATGAAGGAGGAGCCTGAGGCTCAGGAAGGGGAGGTGGGTTCACCAGGGCCAGATTCAACTCAAGACGTGCCATCTTCAAGTCCTTGCTCTTCCCAGCCCTTCAGAATTGGCCAGATGACAGAAACCCACATGATCTAATCTTAGCTTACGTTTACAGCCTTCCCCTTCAACACCCCCGCCTTGTGCTCTTCACTAGTTCCAGCTGTGGGAAGGGAGGACACAACCTGGGCAAAGGCATGGAGGTGAACCGATAGAGGAGGTGCTTTGTCCAGCAGTAATGTGTCCCCTACGGTCTTTGGCAGGAACTGCAAGCTCAGCAGCAGCAGCTTGTCCATGGCAGCTGTGGACATCCTCTACATTGACATCACAAGGAGGTGGAACTCCATGACCCTGGACCAGCGGGACTCAGGTAGGTTCCTGATGACTGGCCTCCACCATGTCTAGTGGGAGTCCAGATGGGTGGGCAGTACCTTTGGGTTCCTTCTTGTTAAATGTCAAGTTTGGGGCAAGAGAAGGTTATCCCATCAACTCTAGACATTGCTGGAAGGATTGAGTGGAATTTGAATCCAGGAGCACTCTTCTGAATTCAGCTACCAAGGCTATGCTCACCCAAATTCTAATTCCACCATTAGAATCGCTTATCTTTTGCTGAAGGCTTTGATTCCATTTGTACTGGAAACACCCACTTAATGGTTCATGTGTTCATCCATCGGAACATAGGTACTAGCGTGTGCTGGGCCAGGCCCTGGGTAAATGGGAGTGAATAGCACTTGGCTCTCACCTTCCAGGAACTCGCTGTAGAGCAGGGAGGTGGATGAGAGCCCAGTGCTGGCATGGTATGCTGTGTGCTAGGAAGGAGAAGGGCACAGAGAAGTTATCGGGAGCCCACCAGAGGAGCTCATGTCAAGGAAGACTTCTTGGAGAAGGATGACTGGGATAAGCCAGTGAACAGGGCAGTATGGACCCCTCTGGCAGGCGCGGTCTGGCCAAGACATGAACACAAGTGGAAGGCTCAGATAACACCAAGAAGCTTAGAGTGGCTAGAGCAGGAAGGGGAAGGGGAAGGGGCAGAGATAGGGTTGCAAGAGCCATCAAGGCCTTGAATGCCACACAAAAGAGTGTGCTCTTGATCCTCTCTATTACAGGAGCGCCAGTAAGGGATTCCATTAGAAGGATCCACTTTAGGGTGAATGCATTTCTGATCTCTTTCCTCGCACAGTGTGTTTTTCCAAAAAGGCTTAATAACCATACCTGACATTTGTATAGCTCATCACAAAATTACACCATGCTCTCATGCGTAGTCCTTCATTAAATGTCCCCGTGAACCAGTGCACTGGGTATCAGCTTTTGAATTTCATGGATGGTAAACTGTAGCTCGGGTGACCTGGCACCCGGGCTTCCCTCCCCCGGGCCGCCTCCCTGCAAAAGGGACATGACACAGGCCAGACAGGGTGCCCCAGGGCACAGCTTCCTCCTGTGATTCTGTGGAGAGGACATGAGAAATCAGAGGCTAGGAGATCCAGAATGCAAATGACTCCCACTTTCTACCCATGTCATCTTGAAGAACCATGCTGCCTCTCTTCTCCACTTACTCTTCTTCCATAAATGGGGCCAGCAGTACCTGCTCCCTGGGGTGCGCTGAGGTATCGGTGGCAGTGGAAAGGAAAATGCTTGCAGCCCTTGCTGGCAGGACAAAGAGACAAATCTTATTAGTGGGTGCCATCTGGGGAGCCTCCTAGGGGTGGGTCTGTGTGAGCGTGGAGTGCTCCCTGTCACATCCTACCCCCCCCAACACACACACCCGTGGTCAGGCCTGGGCCACAGCTTTCTGACCACAGGGATCACCACCTTTTAATAAAGATGCCACAGCTGGCAGCACTTGAGCCAGTCCTATGCATGAGCCCTCTGCGGGCACTAGATATGCACGGGCCTGCCTGGAGTTCTGGAGGCAGGTAGAATCATCGCCTCCACTGCAGGGAGAAGGAGGCCAAGGCTCAGAAGGATAGCTGGTGGACACGACTCTAACATCAAGCTGCCACAGTGTCCCTTCTAGGGTGCTCAATCCTCCTAGCCGGTCCTGGAGTGGGATAACCACCCAGCTCCCCACAGTCCTCCTTTCTGTAATTCAGAAGCAAAACTCAGGGGATATCGGTGCTCACTGAATCAACAAGGTGAATTGTACCGCATCTGGGAGGGAGCGGGGTGCAGGGCCCTCACGGCCTTCCCTGGCAACCAGGATGGGATTGAGATGGAGCGGCTGCAGAATCAGGCAGGTTAATTATCATCTCCAGGACCGAGGCGCTCACGTGACAGCTGAGCAGCGCACTTTTTGCTGACGCCCTCAGAAAGTGAGGAAGTGTTTGCTCTGTGAGCTGAATGCAGGGAGTCCTCGCAGGATCCTGTGGAGGGGGCCGGGAGAGGGGGTGGGGTGGTGGTGGAATTATTAAATATTGAAATTGATCAGGAGTAGCGGCAGGAAGCTATTTATCATGTTTTACTGCTTCAAACTAGCATCACCATCTGGCCTATTGTTAATTCTGAATAGCTGTTCATGTTTTGTTGCCTCTTAAATTGCTGTCTGTAAGCGGAATCCACAGGGGCTATCCACAGTGCAGGCTTGGGTGAGGTTTTCTGGGGTCTGCCAGGATCTCTCTGTTCTGCTGACCACACTAGAGAGATAAGAATGATACTTCTTTTTAGCACCTACTGACAGGCGGATCCAGGGCGGGGATCTCCCAGGCCTGTTGCCACACCTCAGTAATCCATCTGTGAGCAGGGACTGGCTTTGAGATTCCCTCCCATGGGCCTGTCTCGTTGCCAGTTCTCACACCAGACCTTCAAAGTAGGTCATTGTATCCCATTTTATAGATGAGGATCCTGAGGTTCCAAGAGCAAGTGGCTTGTCTAAAATCCCACAGCCAGTGAGTAGCCACGCCCATATTTGAAGTCAAGCCTCCTGCCTCCTGGCCCAGGATGCTGTCCCCAGTCCAGGGCCACCCCAAGCAGCGGTGCTCATGTGAGTGACCAGGGGAGGTGGTAGGGCTTGTGACGCAGGGAGGCGAAAGTTCAGTTCATAGAGCACAGGTCCTATGGGGAAGATGGAACTGGAGTGGGAGGTTGGCTGCCAGTCTGAGTTCCTGTATCCCCTGACGTCATCCTCATAGCTTTAATTCCTGTTTCCATGGCTCCTGAAAGGAAATAACAGACTCGGGGGTGGCAGGTGTGTGTGTGGGGGGGTGTTCAGATCATGGGTGCTGGGCATTAAAGTAAGGGTGCTGAGAAGGTTAAGAAAAAGAACATATACAAAGCCCTTAGCATGATATGCAACCCAGGAAAGCCACTCTCTATGAGTTCTGTATCCCTGAAGGCTAGCACAGGGCCCAAAGCATGCAATAGCATCTTACTCAGTATCCAGTGAATGTTTGATGAGCAAATAGCAATTAAAAAATGTCCTGCATCCCCAAAGTAGGGCGTTTGGAGTGTGAGAGCCATGGCCTACAGTAGAGGTGGTCTCCTTTCCCTCTCCTTAACATCCAGCAGAAAACACCAGCCTGTTTGTTTAAGACCATCACCCCACACGCAGCACTGGCCATGTCCCACTGCCCTCAAAAGGTCCCCTTTCGGGAAGCCAGCCAAGACCTCCCTTCTGCCCTCATGAGATGTCAGCACCACCGAAGGGGCTAACCAGATTCCTGATGCCTGAGACCTTAATGAATCTTTTGCAACCTGCATGGGGTTGCATGCATACCCCAATATTGCAATGGAAGAAGGAAAATGGTGTTTAGAAAGATTAGTGAGAAAAAAAATCAAAACTAATATTTTTTTAAAAAAAGAATGTACATCATGAAATCTAAATCTCAGACCATCCTTTTAAATAGACTTGTTTTCAAAAAAATTTTTTTTTCTGGAGCTCAAGTGTATTAGAATTGGATTAATCATAATCCTTGGTTCATAAGAGCCTTCCATCCCAATCCATGCACAACCTGCTTTTATTTAGGCAGCTTTTTGAATTAACAACTTTTAATAATGTAATAAGCATCCACGAACTCACCACCCAAAACAAAAGCTCTGACTTGACAATAACCCACATCCAGCACATGGCTTTCCCCCAACACCAGACAATTCCCCACCTCTTCTCACCCACAGAACTCTCAGCTGGATCCTGTGCTCATCAGTCCCTAGATAGTCTTGTCTTCCTCTTTAGAATATCAATGACTACTTAGGAGCTTGATGGAATTTAGTAAAATGCAATCCCACACTTGCTGGCTGGCCAAAGTAATAGGCATTAAAATACATAAATAAATAAATAAATATTTCAATTTGCAATTCTAGAATTTCTAGCAGAACAGAAATCTAAATGAGGGTCTTCTTAGCAAAAACTGAGGTCAGGGAGCCCTGTTGTTGCCCAGAATCAAATGAAGAAACACATTTGTCAGTGAAGATGCAGTCATTTCATATAAATTGCACTCACAAGCACCTCCCTATCATTGAGACTTTGCTCCCAACTCTTCCCAGAGTGGAATTTCATTTCTCTGTGCTAGAGACGAGGACATCATCAAAATTAGGCAATAAAAGATAGTATTACTGCGTCATCTATGAGAGGCAAGCATTTCACAGGCAAAGGGGACATTGGAGCCCAGCACCTGGACCTCTCATCCATCTCACACACAACCGACATCTGGGGTCCCTCCCAGTAATCAATGGAAACATGATTGCAAAGCAAGAAAACATGGATTGAAGAGTGTTTCCCACCCCCCCTCTCCACTCATTCAGGCACACGCACACATACCTTGCTTACAGAGGGAAATCTAGGAGTGGCATCGTTCAATGTCTGACACATCCTTCAGGCTCTTTAACCAAAATAAGAAACACGTCTTCTGCTGCCTGAAGAATGCCTGAGCTACGTACATGCTCCCCTTCCTGGGGCTGTTAGACTGACTGGCAGTATAACCAAAGCCACAGGCTCTGGGATCGAACAAATCTGGCCTCGAATCCAGGCTCCGTGACTTGCTAGCAGTGTCACCCCTGCAAGTTACGTAACTCCCTCTGAGCCTCGTGTTCATCATCTGCAAAGTGGAGATAATGATGGTGCCCACCTCATGAACACATTGCCCTGGACGAAGTGAGACGGAGCACAGGAAGTGCTCAGAGTGGGGTCTGCCATGGGCACTGCTCAGGAAGGGGCTGCTCTGCTGCCCTCACACACGTGGGCTCTTGCTGTGCTCCCCTCTCAGGAAATGCTTCTCTGCACCTGCGCCTGCCCGTTGCCCTGTAGGTGCTGGGACCAGACAGAGGGAGAGGAATGGCACATATGTGGTGCCAACACATTTTCCCTCGGTGCCCAGTGCAGTGCAGGCCCACCTCCCCTTTCCCTCCAAGACTGCGTTCACTGGCCCCATATTCCTGCCC